ATTTCATACATAAATTGGATTACTTCGCCAGCCGCCCAAACATGTTTGATATCCACCCAACAGGGAACAATTCACAGGAAATCAAGGAGGTAAATTCTGGCACGAAACTTATGTTTACCGCCATTTTTGGTTTCTCAAACCCCCAGTTAGAAGTTTTTTTGGTTAATGGCGGGACACGATAATCACAAATCTAAGCCATTCCAGTTTCACTGCCTCACCGCGTTACATTATCCTGTCGTGCATGGCTTGGGACAGACCTGGCGCAGCTAATATGGAAGTGTTTGATAGCGAAATTCTGCCCTTTGAAACTATTTTATCGTGGTGACCTCCTCTTGCTTATTTCGCATTTTAAACTCTTAGGATGGTGGCCATGATCGATATTTATATTTTGGGAGTGGGTTGGATGACCCTGTCTGGCAGCAAACCATGCAAAAGATACTGACATTTTGTGGGTATGTGTAGGGTGGGGGGAGCAGAAAGGAGCCTGGCCTTAAAAAGCTAGTTCTCCTGTGGACCAACTAATTGCTAACTTTATCTGCTTTCAACACATGAGTTGCAAACAGATATAACCATTTTTTGTTTTAATCCATCGAGCTTTGTTCAAAAGACAAAGTGTGATGCATTAAGACATATAATGAATCTATTTTGTTCCATACTCTTTACTATTTGTCTCGGATTTTCGAAATAGTCTCTCATGTCTGATGCAACAGTCTAGTCCATGGTTGCCATGGTTTGCTGACTGGCACACGAATGTTCTGTAGGTATACACTATATTTTTTAACACAGGAATGCTCTAAGCTGCATAGCAATTACAATATGAGGTAGATATCGGTTTTAAGCGAACAGTCAGACCATCTCATTTACGATGTGAAGCCAACATCTCAAACTTTGTTATTGAATGTGAATAAACAAACATAAATGGATGCCTTTGCTGCAGCTGAAAAGGCAAACGGCAAAACTGGCTTTGTTGCCATCTATATGTCATGTTACGTTTGGAGAACTGAGATTGCCTTGTGAAGTATACCCACTATTGCCCTTAATAGGCTAACCATGACAATCAGAATAAGTTGTTCCAAGTGATACGAGGTATTTTCATTTGTGTGTTGTCGAGTTTATCTGGTATCAACAAGCTCATACAAATGAATCAGACCAAGACACAAGTTAAAACCAGCCAAAAATAAGCTTTATCACGCTTTTTTATCGCAACTGCTACTGTCAAAAATAGGTGCGGTGAGTTGAGATGATGTACAACATATGGGCTGCTTTAAATTAGGTTAAGTTGGTGAATTGCATGGAAAGTGGCCGTAGGGATTCTGCAAGAATTAGTGACTCACAAATGCTGCTGTGATACAAATAGGTTAGACGGGATCAGATTAGGTAAGGCTTCTTCAGGTCAGGCTTATTAAGCTACGCTCGTGGAAATAAGCCTTGGTGCTTTGTAAGAAACAGTGCATAATATTTGTATTCCCTGACCCCATCTTAACAGAAGCCGGAGGTATGTCCGTTGTGTTTGACTTGGTGATGTGTTCATGTACAGGAGTCCAAGGCTTTCTTGTTTGAACGCTTTATGGTAGTTGGATGTTTTGTTGTTGTTTTGTTGCTGAACTCCTTCGCTTTGTTTTGCGTTAAAACAAAAATGTTGTGGAAGGGAAGTGCAAAGTGCAGCTTTAAAGCGTTAAATGACCTAAGATGTTAAAGAACAAAATTGTTTTGTTATGTTTTATGATATTATGTCCATGCCAGCTTGAAATGTATGACTTTGCTTGCTGGAGCATCTGTCACTGGCCCCAACTTTTGTGAGCTGAATTTTTTACTCCCGTACGGTCTTTTTGCAATGGAATTTTCACTCCCGCCCCAGTTCAAAAGTGATTCTAGCTCTCTGAATAATAGTAGACTTGCGGGTTTCAGCGGGCTTTTTCAGGACAATTTTCACGCCGCTGGCACATGATTTAAATTTGGGCTACGGGGCAAGGCGGGTTTCAGAAATCAAACAAAACTCCAGCTCTAGTGTAGATAAAAAGAAGGTACAAAAGGGCAGCAGGCATTGTGTTGGTATGAGTCTCTGGTATGGTACCTATGTATGGTGACTTTGTCAGTCTTCATTAACGAAATGAACGCTACCTTCAACAAAAGGCATTTCCTCACAAGAAATCGCCCTGGAAGTGCCGGATAATTCCAATCTTTTGTGTCTAGATCTTGGCCTAACAGAATCTCCTTTTAAGCCCGTTTCGCCGTTGCTTGAAGCCGGATTACCGGGCCATCTGGACAGAGAGAGCTGGGGGTCAATTTTTAGACCTTTGTTGTTCCAACCTTTAGGTTTCTCAGCCATGTAGCAACTGCTGCAACTTGTAATGAGGTACTGCTCAGCTCAACACTGCTAATTTACTAATGATTCCTCGGCTGCGTGTCATCAGGCTATACCTGGCTGCCGCGGCTTTGTGTGCTCTGACCAGACCCAACCGGACAGTCTGACGTAAACGGACTTACGGGGGCCGTGCCTCTGCCCCCATCCGGCGGCAAAGCGTAGCTTCCCTCTCGGATCTAGGGGCCCGTGCCCCCATCCGGTGACAAAGCGCAGCTTCTCCCATATTGGCTTGGCTGATTACCCAGCTTCAGGCCAGCAGACGTGATATTTCAAGCTACCCCCTCCCCCTCCCCCCCACATTCGCGACTGGATCTGCCCCTGCAGTCGGACTCCGGCCGCCAGAGACCAGCCCGAGGCACGGCAGCTCCGCCCGGCTCAGCCGCTCATCGGCACGCGCGTGCCTTTGTCTCAGCCCCGCCCACCGGCTGTCTGATTGGTCCGGGCCGCCGGGATGCTGACTGGAGAGGGCGGAGACGCCCTGTCAGCGTTGACGCACCGTCCCAGCGAGGCAGCGCGAACCGTCTGAGCTGAACTGAAGAACTGAACTAAGGCAGTACGCACACCACGGGGCTTCCAGCATCGGTCACAGCTGGCGCAAAAGGGACAAGAAAGGTGTGTTCAAACCTCCTGGTTTGACAAGCCAAACATTCATTCCCTTGTTCTCCATTTAGCGATTCACGCCGGTCGGTTGGAGAAACGGATTGCCCACCAGCGAAACTGCTTTGACGCCCAAATGCTGCCATCGCGTGAACGTGGAGGCGAACTTCAACTGAAAACAAACACAGGAAACAGCGCTGGGTTTCTGCCAACGCGGCGAAGGCGAGACCCACGAGCCGTCAGTTCGCAATTAACGCATGTCCTTACGGTTAACACACCTACAGCACGGCCGGGCTTAGTATTCACTGACCCACCCGCGAGGCAGGCATCGGCTCCCACGACCCATCCGTGTACCCGGGCCGCTCAGCTGGACACACGGGCTCCCCTCAGGCCATGCGCAGCCTTGACGGATGCTTTTTGCGTGGGGCGTGTGCCGTGACGCGCTCGGGGGATTTCCGGCACGCACAGCGCTGATCACGTGCGCCGGCGGCGGACGGGCGAGCCGCGGCCGGGTCCCAGCGTCACGCGTCACGGCCGTGACCGGGCCCGGCCGGCGGCGCGTGACGCCGCACCCACCCGGCGACTGAAGGGCAGTGCGGGTCTCGGGGTGTTGATGAACGGGCGGCTCTTCTCCGCGGAGTGACCCGGTATCCGTCCGTCTATGGTGTTTTATAGACTGGGAATAGGTCGCACATGCCTTGCTGAGTCTCGCTGCGGACTGCAGGATTTTGATCGGGGAAAATATCTCGGAACTAAAGCAGGACACAATTCCAGAGCTTGCCGCTAATTTTCAAGCTCTTTGAGACCTGTTAGTGGGCACAACTGCGTTCAAGGCCGTATGTAGTGCTGATTCTAATCAATGAGTAAGTCAACGGCTCAGTTATCGATTCTGCAGCTGTAGTACTGAAACTGTTACTGGTGATGGAAACTGTCACTGATGATTGATTTTCGAGGGATAAAATCAGCAAGACGTATCCAAACGAACGCTGACAGCTCACTTGGTTTCCGCGATTAAGCGCCATGAAGTGAACACGTATCGAATGATAGGTTATGCATTGAGAGGTGCTAGATGCTGGGATATCTACAGCCGAGGTCCGCAGAAATTAAGCAACCAACGGCATCGATATGTAGTCCACAGCCTGGACACAATGGCTTAAACTGGCCTCTTACTGGCCAATGCTAGTGATACGTTGCAGAACGTCCAGAGAACGGCAAACTTCCCAAATTTATTCGTTCAGTTCTGAAATTAATAACAACACCACATGTGCAACATTACATCTTACGTATGTACAAGCTTCAGCCCGGCAAAGGTTCCGTGCTTTGGTACTGTGTCCATAAAACACGCACATATATCACCCAGTGCTTCGTGCAAACACATCGCACGACTCCAGCTGGTACAACAACATCGGCGCCGACTGCACGGCGCCTGGGGCCTGCGGGGGCCCGCGGGGCCCGGCCGCGGGACCAGAGCAAGCCCAGAGCGGGCCCGAGGCGGGCAAGCACGCCCACATCACCCACACTGACGACAACACACGCCGCGAAGTGGCGCACGGCACGGTAATGGCACGGATGTATGCTGCAGACGCGTGAGGGGCACGGCCTCGTGTCCGCTGGCACCTCTCCTTAGAAGAAACGCTCATAGCTCCGTGACTGCGGACACGTGGGTACTTCGCAGCCGTCGAAATCGAAAGCGGAGAACATTCTGCAGTTGAACAGCACGGCGAATGTCACGAGCTCTGCTATCGTAAGCATGTGCACGATTTGTGTGGCGCTCCAGGTGCCATGTTTGTGCGATGCATGGATGTAACCACGCTTCTGAGATGAAGGGGGACGGATTAGGATTGGGGGCAAGAAACTGGATTCCAGGGAGCAGCCTAGCCTGGGAATGACAATTAGAATGGGAAAATATGCATGATACGGGCAAAATTAGAGGAAACAACATATCATTGTGTGGAATTGGGGAAGAGGGGTGAAGTTTCCTATTCAATTAGAAGGTTCTAGTCCGCCCCCCCCCCCCCCCCCCCTCTGACTTGGGCTCCAGCCCCCAGCTTTGAGAGGAAAGCGGGCTAAACTTGAGGAGAAACTCGTTTCTTGGCTAATTTGGGGATAGACTTCGCCATTTTTTGTTCAGCCCCCCTCACACACACTTATTTTGCGAAACTACGCACCTGTAGAGGAACATACCCCTCAGCCCCCCTCCTCACACCCAGTGGTTACGCCTGTGCTGTCGTGGCTGCAGTGGTCATTTTTTCAGGTTCGTAGACACGGATGCAGCAATCAAACATGGCTTCAACGTTTCGCCAGCCTATGGCTGTTTTTTGCGAAGGAGCGCGGTGCAGTTTCTTGGCACGATACATTGTTCTGGGAAACATCGATTCAACAAACATGCCGGACACGCGCTACATGTGACGTAAACCGTGACGTAGTACGTACAATACTGCTATCCAATCACGTTCGGCGCCAATCAGGATGTGGGGCTGCCTCGCCACAACACCACGTGCTAGAGGCCGCCACGTCATATGCGCGGACACCAACAGATGGGCGGCACGTCCGCCCGCCAGCCGGGCTGCCCCGCCGCCATTTGTGTGTATGACTCGAGTGACTCGCGGGTGAAGAGAGGACGTGACTACCCGAGGCGGGTCTAACGTCACGAGCACGGCCGGGCCGACCCCGTGACGTCACGACGGCCGTGAGATGCGGCCAACCCAGGCCAGACCTGGGCCAAGACCAAGCTGAGACAAGGGTCTCCAACAAGGCACTTCTCGATGCACAACCTCGACTTGGAAACACTGCATTGGTTATGAAATGGGACTGGTCACAGCTTAGTCTCTGAGGTCTTAAGTAATGACGACAATAACAAATCGAAATGGGTACGTGAAATAAGCACATTGAAAACACGCGACTTCGTTATATGTAACGCAACAAAGTTCTGTGCACAAGCAGTGCGCCAAAAAAACGTGAAAAATGTTGAGTTGTACCCCAATTGCGAAATTCTGCATACACCCATGGACGGCTTTGTTTCCCAATGCTGAAAACGGGCGAGATAATTGATAGAACGTATATGTGATTGCACAATACGGTACAGGGTTGCCGAGAGTGAAGTGAAGTGAAGTCAAAGAAACCGAGAATATGTGCTCAGCAAATGCCTTTTTCCGTACAACACTACGGAGCTCTGTTCAATTATGTGCCAGCATCGTTTTTGAAAAAAATGCAGCTTACATAAAATAACCTAAAAATTGCGTTAGCAGACAACTTTGGTCACTATCGATGCACTCGCAGTGCACATATATTTAACCTTTTGTCCCTTTAAGTGTGCATTACGTCCGAGATACATAAGAATGTTAACAGTAACACTGTCACTCAACATTGACGCCTTATTCCTCCGCCAGTCAATTGAGATTTCGTCAAGGTACTTCAGGCAAACAGGTCAACCAACCAAAAATAGTGAATTGGAAAAGGCGCACGCTCACCGTTTCCGCGTCCTAATCGCAGCGGGTCAGTGGTGTTAAAACCAGGCCAGGTCGGGTGAGGTTCTTCAGCGACCAGCGCCCAGATCGACAGAGCGATGTCGGATATCGCCCGGGGAGACGTGTCCGAGGACGACTACAACTGGGATCACACTCTCCGCAGCTTGGGCCACGATTCCTGTGGGCCTTCCTGTTGGGATCACGGTCCTCTCCAGAGGAATAATGTTTGTTAGAGGCCCTTCCCTCCAGAGGGAAGGTAACTTTCCGTGGCCATCACCGCGGACCACCGGGAGCCTCTCCAGCAGTGATCACAGCGCTCGGCGGGCCTCTCCAGCAGTGATCACAGCGCTCGGCGGGCCTCTCCAGCAGTGATCACAGCGCTCGGCGGGCCTTCCCAGCAGTGATCACAGCGCTCCGGGCCTCTCCCGTGGTGATCACAGCGCTCGGCGGGCCTCTCCAGCGGTGACCACAGCGCCCGGCGGGCTTCTCCAGGCGGTGCTACGGCCCTCAGCGGGCCTCTCAGGGCGGGGCCGGGGCCATCAGCGGACCTCTCCAGGGCGCGCGCCTCCCACCGGCCGCGGTCACATCGGGTGCGCCAGCGTGAGGCCGGCGGCCGGGCTGCCCAGCTGCGCGTGGTACCCGGCCAGCGTCCGCTCGGGGCTGCCGACCGGCGGGTGGTGGCCGTGGTGCGGGTGGTGCGGGTGGTACTCAGGGCTGGCCGCTTGTGGCTGGTAGCCCACCGGGTCGGGGCTGCCCGCCTGCGGCTGGTACATGTCCGGGCTTGCCTGGTTGCGGCTGCGGCTGCTGCTGCTGCTGCTGCTGCTGCTGGTACGCCGCCAGGTATTTCTGCTCGGCCGCGTACTTGGCCTGCTCCGATGACAGGTACATGGTCATCATGGCGCCGAGGTCGGCCGGCGGCGGCGGCGGCGGCGGCGGTGGCGGCGGCGGCGGCGGTGCCGGCGGCGTCTCCGAGCGCAGACTGGCCGGCGAGTGGGAGGGCAGGCTGGCGGTGGGCGTCGGCAGGCCGCCGTACGGACTCGGGCTGCGGCACCGGGGACGACCACCGTCAGGGCTCAGTCACGCGCATGCGGCGCAGATGAACGGCGGATAGCAATTACACCGATCAGCAGACATGACAGGGAGGTTTGAGATATCTAGACGAATGGAACGACTCGGAAGGAAACGGTAGCTTCAGGTTGGTAAAAGGCCTGTGGTCGTGTCCCTGCAGTGCCTGATGAACAAACTGGATGGGATCATTCACAGAGGTAGAGTTCCGAGTGTCGTACTGAGCCTCCGCTGAGCGTGGGTTCATAAGGTCGCAGGGAATGACGTACTTGCTACCAATCGGTGGATATCCGAGTCAACGCATCGTACAGGACATGATCGAATGTAACACGACCACAAGATCACGGTAAAGAACCAGCCGATTTGTGGCACGTGGTGCAAAATGCTTGGACCACTCCGGTGGCCTCCGTGGAAATGCGGCCGCTCGCTGACACGTTCAGTTCAAATTTCAAGAGTCGTCTGAAACACCACTAGCACAAAAAAATAAGAACACATGCTTTGGCAGGAAAACGTGAAGACCACCGCACCATAACCATGCATGAAATATTTTAGAGCACATATGAAATATTCATAAAGTCCAAAATTAAGATTCTGCACAACAGCACCCGACAACTCTGTCAAAACCACAAAACCTCGAAACTTTGTTCCGGCCTCCCGAAAAAATTACCATGAATAATATCCCTGCGCACTGAGGCCTGCGCCTGACCTGGTCGACCCGGCGACCCGACCCTGCTCACCTGTTGGGGTACATGTTGCCGTAGCTGGTGCCGTTCATGTAGGTCAGACCGCTGGCGGACGTGGGCGGACTGTAACCGCGCGGCATCTCGTACTGCCCGGCAGCGCCCATGTACGGGTTGGCCGCCATGTAGTTGCCGTACATGGAGGCGTGCTGCTGGTAGGTGGCCGGGTCGTACGCCGCATACCCTGGCGACCGAGAGCGGAACGGTGTCATGTGGTGACCGGCGCCAGCCAGGACGTGTGCGTAGAAACGGCCTCCAAACTGTCTTCTCCTAGGGTATCATTGGTTAGCAAGCTAGGTGGTCAGCGCGCAAAGTTGCATTGCGTACTAGTTAAGTCTTCGGCGTACAAAGTTGACTGAGTGCTTCTGAGCATTCCAATGCTCCTGACTCAGCTGGTAGCGACATATTTCCTGGGCATCACGACAAAAACTCCTCCCAAGTAGCCTGAGCGAAACGCGGCTTGCCACGCGTCTGGTATATTTCTCGCTGCGACCATAGACCCATAGTAATGGCATACGACGTGCAGCTCCAATGGACCATGTCGATTCCTTATCTGAACAGTTTTACGATAGCCCAGCTGTGCATAGGTATCCCCATAGACGACCCTGCCGACCGTGTCATGTTCGATTACCGTTAGGACCGTCTATCTCAAGAAAGCTGCCGCATAGTCTTCAGAAATTAGAATGAACATCCGCGCCGAACCGTGCCCAAAGCCAACTATAATGCTCCCCACCACGCCGTCCTGATTTGCTGTCAACTGCCAGCGCGCTCACACATCGATCATTACAGCGTTCCCCTGCATGACCGCTCCAGCAAAGTGGCCGCGAGCGTCTGGCCGCGCCTCGGACATCCCCGCTAGATCGCGCCCGGTCCGGCTCGGCATGGCTTGGCGTTCCCACGCGTGCGGCGCGGCGGCGGTCTGTGGGGCGTGCTGCGGTCGGCACGCGTGACAGCTGGGCCGGCCGAGCGTGACGGACGAGACGCCGTCACCGAGCTCGCTCACCGGGCCCCTCCGACAGCGCGTGGAGGACCGCTCCCTCGCCGCAGTAATGGAAGCCTGCTCATCCCTTCATTCGCTATGTAAAATCAGGATGTTAGGAGAGATGATCGACTGGATGCTTCGGAATTGCTGCTAGGCTTGGGCAGTATAAAAGTGATAACGACATTTTCGTTCCCTGTTTTTTTCATTTGTGAAAAACAGTGGTTTGACATTTTCGTTTCGTTCCCTCCCCGATACGACAAATCGAAAATGCCCTCAGTTTTCACTCCACTTGAAAATTTAAACACATGACCTTGACAACATGAAAAAATCACAGCTGTTAGCAGCTCCAAACAGGGTGTTGTTATAACCACCACGACATCGTGCAAGGGCTGATCGAGCATCAAATTTGTGATAGTGCCAAGTTCCCAATGGTGAAGATTTGTTTTTTTTTTACTGAAGAGTGAAGCAGTTCAGTTTTGCACCGGCTCGAGAGTCCATAGCGCCCCTTGCCTCCCTACATCCGCTCCGGGCGGTACGTCTCGGGAGTCCACAGCGCTATTGGCCTCCTTACATCCGCCCCGGGCGGTGCGTCTCGGGGAGTCCATAGCGCCCTTGGCCTCCTCACATCCGCTCCGGGCGGTGAGCTTCGGGAGTCCATAGCGCCCTTGGCCTCCTTCCATCCGCTTCGGGCGGTGTGTCTCGGGAGTCCATAGCGCCCTTGGCCTCTTTCCATCCGCCCCGGGCGGTACGTCTCGGGAGTCCATAGCGCCGTTGGCCTCCTTACATCCGCCCCGGGCGGTGCGTCTCGGGAGTCCATAGCGCCGTCGGCCTCCTTACATCCGCCCCAGGCGGTGCGTCTCGGGAGTCCACAGCGCCGTTGGCCTCCTTACATCCGTTCCGGGCGGTACGGTCTGCAGTCTTCACATACAATACTACGGTTCAGAGATGTTTCTGCCACGACACGGAGCATGGGCCGCGCCACATCGTGAAAACACCACACACCACAATATAGAAGGTGTGTACGTGTTCACGGCAATCAGATATAGCTACCGCATCGCGTGTTGACCCACACAGCCACTGGATAACCGGCCGGTCGCTAATGTCTCGGCCGGGGCGGAGCGTTCAACACAGCGGGCGCGCTATTGATGGCGACCTCACACACCATCTCGAGCACCGTGTCGCTTCAGCCGTATTTTGACCGCTGGCGAGTCCACACCAGCCGTAAGTGACGCGCACCTTCGTGGTGAGTACTGGGCATAGACCCGCGGAATCGCGTGATGATAAGGAACATAAAGTTTTTGCTCCACTGTAAATTGTTGTGAATTGAGACGACGTAATGATTCCACACACAGCCCGGCGTTTTGCCGGAACGCTCTGAACAAAGTGACATAGCTAGGAGTTCCACGCAGGAAGCGGCCAAATCAGCGCACAGGGGTACGTTCAACCGAGCGAGTCCCACTTCGTCGCTATAGGGTCCCTGTTTTGGGATTCGGGCTATCTTTTAAGGCTCGAGATCTCATTTTGATAAAACTTAGGGTCAGTTTTTATGTCTTACAACCTCAACGGGCGCCTTAAACTGCAAAAATACTGGGGTTTCGGCCTCAACGGCCCCGCCCCATCTGCAGGGGAAGGCCCTCTGGCTGCGCCCCTATCTGAGCATGTGTGATGCGCCGTTTGTGCAGCTGGGGTATAGATGTTCAACGAATGATCTAGTTTATTCATTACTCGTAATATTTCAAGACATTGCCGCAGCAGGGAGGACGTAGAAATAAGTTGTTTTTTACAGACACAGGCAACATTTGGGCCCTCACTGCGTCATGGATTTTGCAACTTTCTGCACGTGGTCGGTCCTCAGTAATTCACCGCACGACAAACCAAATGAGCCGTTGATCCACCAGCAGGGCTGCTTCCAGGGCATGTTGATCGCACTGACTATAGACGCCTGACCACAGGCCAGAGAACGGTCAACATTGTTGATATCGCATTACCATTGTCACAGTATCCGTACTCCGATAGTAATTGCTGCCCACTGGAGCTCAAAGCAAATCAAACGTTACTAGTAAAATTAAGTCTTCTGGAACACTGCCTCTGTTCTCAACATGTGTAGTTGCTATCAGACCCGGGAGATCTACCCTTAGAACATTGGTTCTAGTCTTTTTTGAGGTGTAAAACAATCACCCGCCTAAGGCTTAATTTTGGGAATCAATGTAGTGTAGGGTTTGACCCCCCCCCCCCCCACACACCTGGATAATCATCCATGGTAGAGAGGTGGAGTTTGTTCACCATGCCTCACTGCATCATAAGGATCATCGCCTTAACTTCATAAGTGATTTGTGATTGTCCATGTCCCGCGCAAGGCCTTCTCTTCCGGTCAAGCATCAGGTATGTTGGGGATGTTGTTCATGTCGTGTGTACATCAGTATATTCTACATACATGCTGTTCATGTACATTCAACGCCGCACCGGTCTATCACTGGTACAACAGATTTGTTCAATTGGAAGGCTGTTGGCCACCAAGCTGCCCCAGCCGATGCCACAACAGAATCCCTCACCCGTACGGTGTCGGGGCCAACTGATGACGAAATGCTCCGTTTTAAATCATACCCTCGGCTGGCATAGCGATGGTTGATTTAGCTGCATGTAATAGTTGATTTTGATTTCCTCAGCTTCTATCTCTTCAAAATGGAGTAATTTGTTCGCCATTGTCACTACTTATCCACCCTAAACCCGCCTCACATTGTATTGTCTAATTTTTTGTTTTACTTCTTACATATACTCAGGCGAGAACAAACCCACACCAATTTTTTGCGAGCACAAACTCACACCAGCGTTGATTCGTGACCTTCGCGTCGCAGCGACGTCGTTGACCGGCCGCGGTCCACTAACCGTTTGACATGTAGCCGGTGGCCATCTGGTAGATCTGCCGTGAGCCGGCGTTGACTTGAGATCGCACCGGCTCCGGCTGCAGAATGCTCGCCCCCAGCGGGTAGTCCTTCTTCAGCAGCACCTTCGTCTTCCTCCGCGGTCTGGAGATGGCGGAACATTCATTATAACCGGGGGACTGGAATGTCGCGCGCCTGACATGCACGCCTGGGTTGATGGGTGTGTTGACACGCTACACGAACGGATCGTAAGCAGCGGGGTTACGGGATGATCCGCGCCAATATTGCGCCATTCGTTCTACTCTGATTAAGCAATTGACAATGTGGCGGATTTTGTCTGCCCAGTTTCAGCACAACGCCAACACAGAAGAGCTAAGTGTTTTATTTAGACGAAAATCGTTTTTGTCAGTAACTGAAAATATTACCGCACTGCGAACTTTTACTGCAACACTTAACGTATGAACACTGTCATGAAAACACTTAGTGCATACACTGACATTCCTTCCGGTACTGAATTCCAAGCATTTGGAACTCACGTTCTGCACACGACCCGTCACAACTTGAGCTTCCTACACAATCCAGAGCTGAGTCCAAAGATGCTTTTTGGGACGAATCACTGGATTTCCAGGTGAATGTGCCGTCAATGATTCTATGAACCATATATATATATATATATATATATATATATATATATATATATATATATATATGGTTCAAACTATAATAAGCCGGAAGGTTGGCTGAGGTATTGGAGCCCTCCCCCCCCACTCAACTAAAAATAAAATTACACCCTTGTCTGTAACCCAACATTCCTGCAACCACCACTAACATCAGGCCAGTTCATCTGCGTCCCATCATGCTGCTCACGGGTTCAGTTGTATTTTTTTCAACCTGTTTTTAAGTTTATTTAATGCGTGGCAGTATTAGAGGCGCTGCAATCCTATATTTCTGCACTGAATGTGTCAAGCTGATCTTTGCATATAATTCAAGCAGAACTTATAACATAATATAAGCGAAAATAACAATTGGGCGCTCCTATGATCATCACACCCCCCTCCCCCTTCAAAACTGAACTAAATGAGATGAAACAGTCCTGGAAAATGTTAATGTTTTCTGACGCGTCAAGAGAGTGTTCAAATCCAACCGCAAACTGAAAGATGCAGTATGAAACCAAGCAAGAATGCATTGTAAGCACAATTTTGCCTGAAGATTGGAAAATATAGTTTTTCCGAACCAGAATATTCCATGGAAGAAAAGACCTACAACCACACATCGCCAACACCACCTGGCTGCGTCTCACTGCACGTGATTTTGTGAGCTGTGACGCAGTGACCAACATTACATCTCACTAGCGACCCCTGGACGAATCGCCACAGCCACTCGCCCGACACTTCGCTGTTTATAAACGGCCGCGGACAGGCAGGTGCTGACATGGTCCTGGCCCTACCCGCGATCAGCGGTCCGCGGGACCGTGTTGGCAGCCGGCGTCCACCACCTCCGGACCGCGCGGCGACCTTCGAGCATGCGCAGGGATTACCGCGAGCCAAGGGAATCCCTTCCGCCTGCCCGCGGCCGGCCGGCCGACATCGCAGCGCGCCGACGGCGCGGCGCAGAGACAAACACGCCGCCCGATTACACGGCGACGACAAATCCGGCTCGCCCGGCCGCGCCGCGACGGTGGCGCGTCCCAGCGGGTGGGCATGGACGAGGAGGCCCGGCCAGCACGGAGGGCGGGAAGAGGAGCAGTACAGCTTGTCTCTGCCCATGCAGCGTTGTGATCGGTATGGCATAACATTAAATCTTCCCAAATGCCGCCGCCGGTGCCTAAGCTCTAAATAACATGCTGCGGCGGGGGCTGGTGAAGCGACGGGACTGGGGCTCTTAAAGTCACGAGCTGGAGCTGGACCTGCGCTGGCGATGGACACCTAGGATCTCGGAGAAGATTCGCAGCGGAATCTGCCGTGTGTGCTCAAAAAGAGTCGCAAGTACTGTTTACGATGGCTGCCATGACAACTAAAAACGACAAATGCGTTTAGGAAGAAGCATCGTTGAACCCTTATCTCAATGGAAGTATGGTCAAAACAGTCCCTTTTCCAGTAAAAAATAAAAACTGAGTAGATGGCCACTGCCCCAGCCAGCGGTGTCTGTGAGGTGTGTAGGTACTAACTTGTCTGAATCGGTTGGCTTCGTCAGTAAAGGTTTGGAGCCGCCGCCAAGAGGATTTGCTCGACTTTTTCGGCATCTATAACGAGAAGGATTGGGTGTAAGTGCCAGGTGCACAGCGAAGACGCTGCATAAGTGCACCACTTGATTCATTATCACAGCACCGTAAAATGGCATCCATACCAACCATAGTCAGCTTGCAGAAATGTCATTGATTCACATGACCAGGGGCTAAGGTTCGAAGCCCGTCATCAAGTTCGAAAGCCCGCTTCAGCCATACCACGACCACGACTTCTAACTGTTCAGGGCACGATGCAGTGAATCACATCCAAAGCGTTCGTAGTTATCAGTCGATACTTTTGCATCCACTATCTGAGCCCAGCCCTGCTTAAATGCCTGCCATCTGGGTAATAGTGAAATTTGAAGTTTTGAGTGCACTAGTATGCGGCCCACTACTGCTGCTTATCAGGCACTGGCCCCAGCTTATTGCAGCAGTGCTGGCGTGTATGGAAATAAATGACATGAAAAGTGAACGCAAATAAAAAATCCCCACCCTCAATAATTGAGCTCTTCACAAAGGTCGGACCAGAGCTCTGAGCGGAACCAGAGCTCTGGTACGGTGCGTCTCCGAGCCCTCGCAACGAAAGCCGTGCTGACGTCTGTCCTCCCTGAGTCCGCGAGTCCGAGTCTGATGATCTGAGAGTTTGAGAGTCTGAGAACATGAGAGTCTGAAAGTTCCAGTCTGAGTCTGAGAGTCTGAGAGCATGAGAGCATGACAGTTTGAGTCTGAGTCTGAGAGTCTGAGAGTCTGAGAAACTCAGAGTCTGGGAGTCTGGGAGTCTGAGTCAGCGAGACATCGAGGCATCGATGCGACGTTTGAAGCACCTTCTCCATCCGCACGCGTCGACCGCGGCGGCCACCTGCCACACCTCAGGCCACCTCCCACCTCACACACACACATGGACCGCAGGTTCAATGTGTGAGGCCCACTGCAGCGCAGCTACGTGTCACGTCACAGGTAGCTTATTCAGTGAACCTTGCCAGTGAACAACGTGCGTTACGTGTGAACGCCAAAGGTGCAACCGAGCAGGTTGCGCCAGCACCGTGCCGCGGGGCGGCTGCGCCAAGCCCGCGCGACCGTTCTTGACCTGGACGACCCCCAGCCGGCGGACGGATAGCAGACCAGCCGACCGCTGATCAGCCCCCCATCCCCTCTCCCCCTCCCACGTGGTCTTCCGGCTCAGCGGGCGGCGGCCGACCCTGAGCGGCTTACCGCCGACGGTCGCGATGTAGCGGGCGGAGGGGAGGGGCGACTCGATTAGCACCCGCTCCTGTGGTGTGTGACGCAGACAGGCGCATGCGATGGAATGTGGGATGCGGAGAAGCGATCCGGTTACGAGTCGCTACGGACAGGGCATCTCAGACTGACGGTTCGCGAGTGCAGTGAGGATACGCAGACGCGCGCGATTCGGGTGAATGTGTGATTATCAAGTGACGCCCATCAGGAAGGTCGGTTGAACATCGTGATCTAGTCCTGGAACGTGTCCACGGAACAGAGAACATTTTTCGGGACTCTGAAAACACGCTCTGCCCCATAACTCATTCCGGTATTCCCCACAAAAAAACTGTTCATGAATAAGCCCCCTGAGGTCCCAAAGCATGATGTTGTATAACAGGCATTTAATAATGCATAAATCACCGATGCACATTCAACAGCATTAACTAGAACTAAAAGAGAACGTACTCTCATTGCGAGAAATTTACATGGTTCCTTTGCGCCTGCTATATATATATATATATATATATATATATATATATATATATACATAGCATTAGCCGGAGCCGCAGGACTTCGGATGTCTCGCTCCTACTAACCCCTATCGCTGCTGCGCGGCAGGGTAGGGATGATCAGCAGCGAGCTTGAAATCGTGTCCATTTTTGCAAGTGGTTGAGGAGACTGACGCCGATGGTCAACCACGGCTGAAACGTCTAAATCTGTCGGCCGAGAAACTAGAAAAAATGTGTTGCACAATAGTATACGGGAAAGAATTTCAAAGATAATCGCTAAGACTTAAAAAACCAATGACGCATCAAAGTCAGAAGTAACTATGTTGGTATGATAGAGCAGTCGTATAATGTTCATTGAAGATGTACATAACGCGTAAATTGAACACCTTTCTGGTATCGCAAGTCTGTGGTACAATTTTAGCCAAAGAGTAAATTGTGTGTTTAAATCCCCAAAGCGATGCTTTTGTGAATACCAAACTTTGAAAGCTCACCGCAACCCGTAACCCTTGCAGGCAATGCCCGCGAACAACTCTGCGGACTTTTTCTCTTGTCGAGGAAGCTTGCGGGCTCGAAAGCGGCAGCACTAGCACGGAATGGATAACGTGTGTAATAAGCTGACGGCGTCAGGCTAACATCCGAGGCTTGCTAACGACCGATTTGGGTACCACATCCACGGGACATGCTTTCAACAAACCGCTTGCTCGAGGTCGTAATTCGTTGCGCTCCCGAAAACCGTTTGCCGCCGGAACATCTGTCATTCTGCTGACTCACGGTCTGTCCGTAATCGATGGCAAATGGGCCGCATGAGAGGGACGGGCGGTCGGGGGGTGGGGTGGGGGGCGATTACGCACGCGACTAACACACGCTGCCGATGCGGCGGAAAGCCGGAACATGCTCGGCCGCGTCGACAAACGCCGGTGGTGTTAGAAGCAGTCAGCGGAGGGATGTAGCGGAACCGAACTAACCAAGGGCCGTAAATGAAGACATTGAGCTAACCCTCCGGTCAGGTGATTCGATCACTTTGGCCCAGAACGTTATGAGCCGTCGAGACAAGCGTGAACTGGGTCACCTTACAAGCTGTAGCCATAGTGCCACTGCCAAACGTTGAAAACGTGGCAAGTTCAAGGAACCCTGACTCTCCGATTTCCGTCTCAGTGCAGCTCGGCGCACCTGCCCCCAAACACAAGCGGTTCAGAGGGATCCCGGCAGCACGCCGCGCGGTCGATCCGCCCGACCAGTCTAGCCTTCCGGCTCAGCCAACCTGTTGACCAGACTGTGGGGCGGCGCCAGCTGCTTAACCAGGCTACCTGACCAACAAACCAGGCCTGCCTGCTGACCAGACTGCTGGGCACCGCCAGCTGCCGGACCAAGCTACCAGACCAACCCAGGCAGCTGACCAGACTGTACCAACTCGGCAGCCCGGTGTGAGGCAGCCCCGGTGGGAGCCACAGCACGTGCGTTACTCGTGTAACCCACGCTGTGCTGCTGCTGGAAGGGATGGTGATAGTTACAGGGCGATAACTCAGCACGGCCTTCGGTTTTCTGCCGACAGAAGGCAAGCTGTAGTGTCTCTCCAGAGCAGCCAGCTGACTGAAGCTTGGACGAAAACGGCTTTCGAGTTCTTCTTTCCTTGAGGAAATGAGGGACGCAGTTTGGCCAGGCCAGCACTAGGGGATGCGCCGAAATTTGATTGCGCCTTGTTTGCCTGCCGAGCTTGTCACAAAACAAGCAACAGGTGGTTGACTGTCGCGGAGAAAACGGGAACGTTAGTTCTTGCGTTGCAGTCCCTTCCGTCGTGTTTTGGAAAACAGCGTATCATCCGTCATTGACAAATCTGACCATGTACTCATACGCTTGGGACCTGGCACGCCTAGATTAAGGGTGTGGTAGATTATCGGACATGTCACGACAGCTTGCTCCGGCCTTCGGGACGTGATGTAGCCTGAAACAGGCTTTTGCTCACCGACTGCTTCCATATTTGGAGAGCAAAATGGTGAGAAGCAAACGTTAGAATTCCCAAGTAGCAGAATACATAATGCAAACAGAACACGAGCACTTTCAAATTTATAGTATGACGGTCTGTCTCGTATTTACAACATAAGGCATCAGTCAGGGTTAAAAGTTGGTAAAGGCAAAATTTTATTTTAAGCATATACCCGGCATGCAATGCATGCGCGTTTTGCAAAATTCCGTAAAGATTGTATGACTTGTAACCTGCCACCCCCCTCCTTCCTCACCTACCACCCTGGGAAGAAATTCATAACATCAGCCAAGCAAGGACTGTAGTCCTTGTCAAAAACGAAGTTCAACCAAAAATCAGAAGTAGGCGGGGGCATCGAGGTTTTTAAGGTAGTTTTTCATGTAACGCTTCAGGCGCGCCAGCATACTGCGCAACAGTTTAATTCATACTGCCTGAGCATTTTCAACACTCACAACATAAACCAAAATATGAAAAGCATTATCAAAGAATGTCTACTGTTGTCATGAAATTTGCGTTTGAACAGAAATTAACTGGTAAATGGCGACAATTTTCAGAAAAATAATCACCAAACCATGGAGATTTAGCGAGCGTATAATGCAGCTTTCCAGCCATTCTCCTGAAGCAACGCGTGACAGGACGCTTGTCGCAAACGGGAAGTACCGCACGCGGACCACGCTGAAGCGGAGCACCGCCGTCACTGACAAGCCCCGCTACTAGCGCCCGAAACCCAGTCAGAGAAGTGATACCGGGTCGGGACCTAAAACAAGCAACAAAAACAAAGTGGTTTTGCATGATATGCGTAGAAAGTTGTATGCCGTCCCTCAGGTTGTTACGGGAGTGGTGTACGCCGGAGTTGGCAATGGGGAGGGGAACAACGATAACAAAAAAAACCAAAACAGAAGAAACTCATTTTAACGCGCAACGGTCACAACAAATGTTGCGCGAAATAACATTGCACGCGGGGGAGTAGTTTCACAAAGCAAGTGTGTGAGGGGGGGGGGGGGAAAGGGAAATATCAAGGAATGGCCAAACCTGGCCAAAAATTTGCCAAGAATTGTTTTTCTTCCTGATTCGACCCACTTTCCTCTCGAAGTTAAAAAGGGCAGCTCGTTCCTTCAAATATATATGGAGCTACACACCTGATGGTGTTTTTTTTCAATCCACGTGTTGTTGCACATGTACCTCGACTTATTTATTGTCAGTATTTATTTACATGCATATTATTAGCTAAAATTTTAGGGGACTCCCCTTGTTTTGTACGATTCCCTTCGTTAAGAACGATATTTGTACAACTCCCTCCCTCCTTGAATATGTTGCTGGGTTATGGCACACATATTTTTTAGCAGACTTCCATATTGCCGTTGAAGCTCGTCTGCAAACTCTGGCGTCAGCAATAATAAAATATCGGGTCGGTGACCCGGTGAGCGGGGATGGGGGACGGGAACGGAAGACGCGCTGGTTCAACTCTGGTCAAACCTAGCATGTTCCGTTCCAACTCCGGACAATTTTTCGCCACCATCCAGGTCTTGCATGATGAAACATTGTACAAAAAGCCCCTTGACTCTATCCCCACTCCAAACCCCTATTGGTTTGTTGGCGCAAATATCGTGTGCTTTCCTACCTAACCTTTACGTGTACTAACTTTTATTTTTACATGGCCTGTATACAGATAGTGGCGTAGCCAAGGATGTGGGAGAGGGTTGGAGCCATATCCCTCCCGTGACGGTGGCGGGGGTCTACCGGATCAGAAGACTTCAGCACTTCTAGACGGTTTAAGATACTCATAGGGTTCGTAAAACAATAAAAATACACCCCCCGATGCATTAAACTAAGACTTGGGCCTAAAAAGGCTAAATAAAAAGCCAGTGCCCGTTTAGCAGCGAAGAGGTCCCCCGTGACCCGATTTGGTCCACTGCTAGGAGAAATGCTGACTGTGCCACTGGATACAGGGATCTTTTACACACAAATTTGAAAGACTGGCGGAGGTGGGAGACGAGGGACGCTGGAATTGAGTTGCGTGATCTAGGACTGTCCCTCTTCCGTCATCACCACCAACACCACCTGGATTCACGTGGGGTTCTGGTGATGTAATTTGAACGGAAGAAGTTAAACACCTTCAACGACTATTCAAAAAGCTCACTACATGTACATAGGTACCCGTGCGTCGTTCTGCCGTACCCCATATCGCACGGAGCGTGAATGGCGGGAATCAGCAAGCAACGCTATCATGTTTGACATAGTACACACTGCAGCATTTTCGGTAAGCGACATGCCATCAATCAATTTGAGTGACAGAATGTTCGCATCCTGCATTACCCGACTTACTCAACAAGCTCAGCTCAATTCAACAGGCCCCAGCCTAACCCCGCGACGTCGTAGTGCTGTCAACAGCTCACCAGGCTGCCGACTTATATGCGACTGGCTTGTGCAGCTGACCTCAGGCTAGCTCCCCGCTTCCGTTACAGGTCTGGCTGGCCATAGCGGGCTACCAGGCAGCCCGCGCGCCCGTACCCGAGCTGAGGCCCACTCTCCCGAGCCGGTCTGACGCACCTGTACTTGTAGTCGGGGTGCTCCTTCATGTGCACGGCGCGCAGACGCTTGGCCTCGTCGATGAAGGGCCGCTTGTCGCCGTCACTCATCAGCTTCCACTCGGCGCCGAGCCGCTTCGATATCTCGCTGTTGTGCATCTTGGGGTTCTCCTGCGCCATCTTGCGCCGCTGGCCGCGTGACCACACCATGAAGGCGTTCATCGGGCGCTTGACGCGGTCCGCGTCCGTCGCCGCCGACGCCTTGCCACTCTGCGGAGGCGGGTGCTGCTGTTGCTGCTGCTGCTGCTGCTGCGCCTGCTGCTGCTGCTGCTCCTGCTGTTGCTGCTGTTGGTGCTGGTGGTGCTGCTGCTGGGAGAGGTGCTGATGCTGCTGCTGGAGATGCTGGTGGGGCGGCGCTGGGGACAGCTCCTCGCGGCCCAGGTGCGCGTGCAGCGCGTGGCCGCCCACCAGGCGGCCCAGACCCGGCTTCAGGTCGCCGTCCACGGTCAGCATCGTGTCCCGGTCGCCGCCGCGGGACAGCTCGCACGCCGCCGCCGCCACTGTGCGCACTGTCACGTCACCCGCGGCACGGCACCGCACGGCGCTGGAACTGCGCCGGCAGCAGGCAGACAAGGCGCGAGACACGCGGCGGCACCCCACCGCCGGTCGGTACGACGCTCGGTCTGCGGTCTAGACCCGACCAGAAACCGAGCAGCGTCGACCGGCTCACCAGCCAATCAGCGCGCCGAACGCTGGACGGGGGCGGGACTACAGTGACGTCATCGGATGGGGCGGAGCGTCGCCGGCCGAATCTTGCCAAGCAGGTGGTTCCGTAAGAAGTCTGAAATGGTTCGCCGCCCGTTAGTGAAGAAATGTGGATATTTTTCCACGTCATCTTGAGGTGATGGATGGTGGAAAGATGGCGTCTGGGCAGTCGCCACCAGGCTGGTGTTAAATCGGCTTGGGTGGAAGGGAACAGCAAACTAATGCTGGCGGATCACGGCGTGCCATGTTATGGTGTAGCACGCTTTCATTCCCAACAAAACAAACATTTACAGCCGTAGGCGTAGGGGCGGGGGTCCGTCGGTGTCATGGCGCTTCCAGTTCCCGAGAATACCGAGCGCTACGCTTTGGCGACGCACGGAAAGAATCGATTTGGAAGAATCGAATTGGCATTAGCACTCCCACGTCCTGAGACGCTGCATGTCTACAGCAGATTGCATGCCCAATCGATGTCCTTTCCATGCCGGACTGTACCCATGTCATGTCGGATTGAAGCGCGAGATGGCGGCGGTTGTTCTGAGAGCTTTTGTGAGCAAACTACAGCGGAGCATGAAGCCCTCGCACGTCATACAGCAGTGCACCAAGGCGCGCCGCATTTTGCATTTATCTGATCCTGAGGCGTTGGTATTATCCCATTATTGTATGAAATGCCATCAGGCGTGTGTAATCGCAATCGTTTTTCTTTAAACACCACAGGATGCACCTGCGCTGCTGTTTGAGTGCTGTTCGTGTTGTGCGCTCCAAAGCCTCGGCTTTATATGGGCAGTTCAATAAGATAATAATTTGTGTAGTTTAATTTATGTAGGTAGTAACAATCAAGCTCCTGGGAAACCACAAGGCAAGCAGCACGAGACGTGGATATACATTTTGTGGTACGAATTTTGCATTTACTTAGATGGTCTCCCACCCCCGCCGATCTGCTCTCAATTTGTTATGCTCACTTCAACCTCAGGGCACCAGGCGCTAAGTGCCAGACCAGCCCTTATTTGGAATGGACCTAGGCGTTCGTGGAGTACGTAGTTCTGTGAGCAGTGTGCCCTCAGTGGCTTGCATGTTACTCATGTGTTTACGAACTTTGCATTCATGTGAGGCTGGACGTGAGTCCGGCGCGCTTGGACCTGCCGCGGTCGGCCGCCACGTGACCCTGGGTCAGCGGGCATCCACCCGCAGCCGGCGGCGGTGTGTCACGTGACCGGGCGACGTGGTCGGGACGGGCGGGGGGGGGGGGGGGGGGGTAAGAGAAGGATCGGGGCGGCCGTCGCTGTCACGGTGTCTTGTCTGGAGCCGCACCACCGATACAACAGGCAGAAACGCAAGCTTTGTGTTTGCTGAGTGCTCCCCCGAAAAGTCAGTCTTCTTCATTGCATTATGCTTACTTTGGTCTCCCCGCACCAGGCGCTAAGCAAGTGTCAGACCTGCGCTTGCTTGGAATGAGCCTAAGTGTTCGTGGAGTACGCAGATCTGTGAGCATTGCACCTACAAGAGGCTCGTAAGCTGCATATCAGTTATTAGCTGAAGTAATGTGTATGTAAGAGCTGCATTTTCAAAGGCTGAGTTTTCTTTGCTAAGAAAGGCATGTCAAAAACAATATTGTTGTGACAATATGTCAATGGGCTATGTGCGACACAATGCGGTGCGTCATTGTTGTCTTTGTCAGTCTACGAAGATCAGTGGAGTGTAGACAATAGGCTGTGCACGCCACAATGTGGCGCGCCATTGTTGCCTTTTTCACTCTACGAAGATCAGTGGAGTGTGGGCAGTTCTCAGGCATGAGCGACTGCAGGGTACTTCCTGGCGGAAACGGTACACTGGGATGCGGTCAAGGTACTAGGGGTACATACTCAGTCCTCACATTACATTCATTCAGAAGTAGGCAGCTTTAGTCTACACTTCAATGCTCTCATTTGTCAAAATAGTGTATTCCTTGCCAAATGCCGTGACTTCCGACCATGCAAAATAATTCGGTTCGAAAGCTGGATTGGTAGCTTGATTCGGCTCAGAACCCAAACAGGGAACAAAAGCTGTTCATTCCCGATTACGAGTCAAGGTTTTTGAAGTAATTTCTGTCAATGACTCAATCGACCAAAATTTGACATGAGTCATGAATCGATTCTGATTCCGAATCGAATCGAACGCAGTCCGGATTCAGATGAAGTGAGTGAGCGAACGAATGCAGTCGGACAGACAAGACCAAGTCCGAGTATCTTCTTTGCTTCATTGCATCAAACTCGTGAATTTCTCCTGATCCCCAAACGCAATGTATCGAGCAACAGCTTAACAGAATAGTTTGTTAGCTGACTCATCCTCCCACTATCCTAGAAACCACAGCACTGATTTTGTATCAAGACCTCGGGTCGCACGCTGGCTTATTCTGCGCCGGCGTCACGTTAGCCCGACGTCATCTGCCCATGTGCAACTGCCTCACACTCGCTATGTTCTCACACGCTTCACATTGGCTCACGTCCCTCGGAGCCGAGGACAGGAGGCGGGCATTCGCAGGTACCGGCTCGAGCGAACGCCACGGGCGTCGCGCGAGAAGGCATAAGCGGCAACAAATGCGGACGCACACGTGGGGCTGGCGACCGCACACTGCGTGTAACACGGAAGACTGGGGTCGAGCTGAAGACGGGCGGCGAGGAGTCAGCGTCTTCCACTGCGGCGGAGGGCCGGGGACGCGGCGGTGGGAGGAGGGGATGGGGTCTCATTATCGGTCAGCTCAACCGCAAATGTGACCCTGCGAGGCGGTCAGGGAGGGGTGCTCTGAGCATCGACGCGGAAGAACGCGGCGGAGACAAGCGCAACAGACGGGACGATTAAGCCCCACCCGGCATCCCGCGCACCTGCAACATCGTCGACGATGTGCTGGCATTCGACTGGGAACATGCCGAGTATCGCAGTACGCCATCCGCACCCTGGAGCTGTGCGACGCAGCAGGCATCGCGCTGCATCCCGGCAAGCTGGTCTTCGCCGGGCCGTCTGCCAACGACTGTGGCTACGACGGGGCGTCCGACGGCTACACAGTCGACCAACGGAAGGTCAAGGCCATCGCTGAGTTCCCCACACCTGCCGACATCGCCGCATTGCGCGGCTTCATGGGACTGGTGACTCAGCTGGGTGCTGTCTCGCCAGATACTGCACTGGGAGCTGAGCCTCTGCGTGACCTGCTTCGACCCCAGAACACGTGGGTGTGAACTGAGGCTCACATTCAGGCTTTCGAAGCTGTGAAAAAGGCGCCCATCTCGCCTCCGGTACTCGCGTTCCTCGACCCACGACGGCGCCCCGCCCGTCCTGCGGACCCATGCCTCTCGGCTGCACAGACTGGGGTACGCTCTGCTGCAACACCACGGTGAGCACTGGCTGTGGTGCAATGCTGTTCCCGATTCCTGCCGGTCGGCCACGGAATCCCGCCACGCCGTCATCGAACTGGAGCTGCTCGCCGTGACCTGGGTGGCCCGAAAGTGCCATCTGTTTCTGGCTGGTCTCGCGTCCTTCGACGTTCTTACAGACCATCCGTCCGTTGGCGCATATCCTCGACCAGGAGTCCCTGCCGGATATCAACGACCGGAGACCGTAGTGACCCATGGCTGCGGCGCCTCCGCGTGAAGCTGCTCGCGCGCAGCTTCACCACAGCCTGGCAGTCCGGCAAGCTCCACTGCATCCCAGGCGTTCTCTCAAGAGTCCCCGAAGATGACCTCTCTCCGGACGACGCGATCGCTGAAGCGGACGTTACACATCAGCTCCACAGTCTCGTCGTGAGTGCTGGGCATCCGTCGACTGAGTTGTGGGACAGACGGGACATGATGGTGAGTGCAGTTCACCCGCGTGACCTCCTCATAAAGCTCCCCAGTGGCCGCACCTATTGGCGCGACCGTCGTTGTTATTTAATTTGACATCAGATGACACTCCGTATACATACGTGGCTATCACGTGTCATTAGTCTGCGAGATAAAACAGAATGTCAAAAAGGAAAGTGGTGAGGGATGAAAAGCACATAAACGCATGCACGCATAAACAGTATGAGACCACCGTATCGCACAAAAAAGGACCTGGTAGCGAGCTTAAGATCTGTTGAAGTCCGTAGTCGAACATCCACAGGCAACTCAGTTAATAAGAGATGCCGTTCGGCATGCGAAGGACCGCAGTCCTGCCGCCGTGCGCACCGCCGGGAGGCGCAGGTTATGGTCCATGCGGGTAGTTTGGTCACTGCTCCGCGCGTCAGGGTGTTTGAAGCAAGCGAAAGATACTCAGGATCACTTCGCTCACAAGCTTTGCGCGCAGCGATAGCGGTTTGTACGTCACACATTTGGCGTGGCAAATGTGTGAAAGTGCAGGTCATCCCGCACGCGAGACAAGTAGTCATAATTTCGTTGGCCAGTAAATACTCTTGTAGCAAAGTTGGCTTCTTTAACCAGTGTGGCCTCGTCAACAGCTGGCCGCTGGCCCTAAACCGAAATGCGAAACCTCACACACGAGATGACCAGACCCTGCACTATGGTCAGCAGCACCCGTCGCGGGAGGAAATGTCTCAAGTGGCGGAGACCGCTCAGGACGCCGATGCACTTTTTTACTACATCACTGACGTATGCGACCCATCTCAGGTGGCACACCCAAATAGCACACCCAAGTTTTTACGGTCCGGCTCTCCCGAGCCTCGCCGATTCCTGTGCCCGTTCTGCCCGCTAGAACCTGCGTGCACCACGCGGCTGCCCGGCCGCTATGCCCGTCCGCGTCGACCCCTCGCACCACCCATCCCTGACCGCCTCGCAGGGTCACGTTTGTGTACGAGCTGACCGACAATCAGCCCCCCACCTCACCGCCGCGGCCCCGGGCCCTCCGCCACAGCGGGAGAGCCAACAAGGCAAGGTGCGGTTAAATCCCCAAAGGTGGAATGAAATTTTTTATGTACCTTTAAGATGGCTAATATAAAAACCTAGGCAAAGCATAGTCCCAACGCCATCCTCTTGATGTCTTGCTTGATACAGCACGCATCGAGCTGACAAAAGAAGGCGCGGAGAAATGCTGCATGTCAAACAGTGAACTAAACTAATGTTACTACTC